AACTTTATGGTTTCCAACATGGCAAAAATCGGAACCAGCGATTCGGTATTGACGGTGGCGCCCCGCTGTCAATGTCATCGATAGGACAGTTCAGTATTTTGGAACTATAACACAGTATTGCCTTTCGCGAGCTGTCATCGCCTTTCGCACGCTGTCAAACGCGAGGCGAAGCGTTTACGTTACGGTGCGGAAAAGTGTGCTTTGCAGTATGGAGTTTCATACAAAAAATACTGACCATCTCGAGTTGCTACGGTTACGATCCCTTTCCGGGTTGATAAGTGTGCTGCGTCCTTTACTGGGACATCCAATACTCGTAACTTGCCGCAGTCAGACCGAGCAACTTCCTAAATGAGTTTCACTTTGGTCCATTTATTTATCCTATGCAGTTAAATCTACTTCAATGTTTGTTTCACTTTCCAATACTTTATTGAAGTGGATCTTTCAATTCAAGTTTCTTTTGCGATTACTCAGATGTTTATTTATTCATATCTGTAAATCTTTTTGTTCTTATGACGCTTTATACTATTTTATGACTGTATTTTATTATGGGTCAGTTATTTTATTAAACAATCGGTGTAAATATACACCATATTTTTAATAATTTGGAAAGATTTCAATGGGTGACTCTACTTATAAAAACAAAATTGTGACAAGAAACAGTGACTGTTTCTTACGCTGCTTCTTCTCAGCACTAACCTATATTATTACAGTACCTATAAACATAGGGGAATTAGGCAAACATGCTTTCCATGAAAAGCCAATAATTCTATTCTCTATTTGTTTAGTGTTAAACTGAGGTTTGTTTAGATTTAGTTAGGACCTACAAAACACGTGTACTCGATCATAAGCAATTAAGTGCGGACGTGCAATAACATCCAAAATGCAATATCGGCTGCCGTAGTCATGATTCAGGCCCTCGACGTGCAATATCGGAGCGCTAACTGGGATATCTGGTGACAGGCGATTTTAACGGACTAGATTCAGTTTCAGCAATTTAAAATTGTTACCAGTGGATAGTTTGTAAGGGATACTGTAATCAAGGCTGTGTTTTTTTAATTCAAAGGTTCTAATTTTAAGGCAATAGTGATTCCCTTTAATTTGCGGTGATTTGTGGTATAAAAGTTTCTTCAATTTCATTTAGTATTTTACAGCAATAAACGAAAATATAAATATTGGATTCGTTGAAGCAAAAAGGCTACTGAGAGGAGGCTATTTTGAAGAAATCATTATAATTTGGAAATCTTATTCGACATTATCATTATCACAACAAATTATGCTGTCAGGGGTCCCATTGCAATAGGCACCGTGATTGTGCCTGAGTAAAGGATCTTTACTGTTGTCTGTTTCTTCATGGTTTCTTTTGCTATTGTTAAAATGTACCTACTTTGCATGTCAGCTATCCCATTGTAACAAGTGTCTCTTTCTTACTGATACGGTAAGGTACATCTTGTTCCTCGCGGGGAATCCCAGAACAGCAATAGTATAATAAAGGCGCTTTCAGACTGGTTTTTCTATGGCACGTGATCGTCGCATCCGACCCAGTTGCAGCACAAAGACGACTGGCGACGGAAACTGTTAACGCCCGACGCATTCCAATCTGCACACAATCAGAGCTGAGAAGCTAGGTTTTGGTGAAAAAAACTGGATCCCTAACAAACTGTGTAGGTTAATAGGTTTGATCAATTTAAAATATGAACAATAAAATAGAATAAAATATGAACGATAATAGTCTGGAATTCTTCTGTACCTGTAAAATATTCCCAAATTAAATTTTCGAGTAACATTAAAATCGGGAAAAACCTAATTATAGACTCAGGTAGAACGTGTGAATTCACATAGTAAGTGAAATTGGTGTCGTTACGTCAATGTTTCAAGGTCTGGTCCATGTTTACTTTGCAAGCATTTTTTGCAGATGCATTCTTTAGGAAAACAATACATACCAGTGTAACACCTGAATAATCTCTTAATAGTTACTTAATTATTACTTACTCTATCTTAGACAATGTAAACGTTCAGCTGCACAGACAGTTGGATTATGAAATAAAAGCGTTAAAAGAAAAGTTAATTACGTAGAAGTTATAGACAGGTAAGCGGAGAGCAGAATAAATGCTTTTGCCAGACTGGTAGCACTTTCTGTTATAAAGTTACCAAGAGATATTAAAAGAGCCACGAGAAATGAACTTTTATTTATGCTTGCATTTTTACTGAAACAGCCGCCAGTAGTGTAATTTTTGATCGAGTCGCGGTTCTTTAAAATACATCGTCTGCGAGCTTGTTCCCACGAAGACATCCCGTTTTTTTTCAGGAACAGTTTTTTGCAGGATCCTATTAAGTAGTACCTATACGTGTTTTAATATTAACGTTCACACGAACATCCCGTTTGCAGTGTCCCGCAAAAAACCAATCCGTTTGAATTTGTAATTTGAATTTCAAATACACATGAAATATTATTGTGTTCAGATGACAGTCCAGTTTGCAGGATCCCGCATAACTGGATTGCATTCCCACAAGCCCTGATTCGTTAAAATCCTTGTCATCCGATATTCGCAGTTGGTGAATTCGTCCGACATTCGTTTCAGTAGTAACTTTTTGTGACGCAGTATAAATTTTTTTCGATTGACTTTTGACAGAGCGCAATTGTAAACGTGACTCCGTAAAGTGATAAATGAACGAAGAAAGAATTTCAGCGACATAAAGCCAGATATCTATTTAGCACTTGTAATGTAATAATACCTGCGTAGAACTTGTGTGTGATAGATGGCAATACGGCTTTAATTAATTAAGATAATTAGACCTGGAATCCTCAACCACAGAAGCTCCTTCGGCTTGATCATGAATTTAGGTGGGATTCAGGCCAAGACCTTCCTCGTTGTGTATTAAAAAGTGAATAAGGCATGTAACTGAGTTTAAAGCTTTAATAATAACGGCCGAGGTTTATTAATCCATTTGGGGTTGTGATTGACAACCCTACCTAAACAGCCACTGGACTTTATTTTACACGTCTCGTTTGGCATCAATGGGGCTCGATCACCGACGTAACTTTCTTGAATGCCATAATGCCACAATAAGGGGGACTCTTTGTCAGTCAGTTTTGTCACGGGATTGTGGGTCATTTGCTGGGAACAAAGATATGTAGGTATACTTTTAGACAAGCTGTTTAGAATTAAATGATGTAAGTGTATTTCTAGACCAGCTGTTCAGAGTAATATTGTGCCTAAGTTGAGAGTGTGTTGTTTAACATAGGTTCAAATAAAGTAAACAAAATGGACATATAAATATAAAAACGCTTTATCGGTCGAATGAAATGATATATCTAAAAGCTTTCCAAATAACATAGAATTGCTTGCTCGACTAAGTAAATGAGTTGTTGATTGCGAAAATAGTTCTGTCTTGATCCTTAGATAGGTAATAGAGAACTAAATCAGTAACGGAAACTTTTATCAGGTATTATCCAATCTTAATAATGAAAACGTTTGCTGCAAAGCTATTATTAAGCTCTAAACTTGCTAAAAGTTAAACCGTTCAAAGCTACTAAAGAAACCAAACATTACATAAGCTGTAAAACTCATGCAAGCCTAATCCTCTTTCTTTGAACTCATTGAGCGAGCATATTCGATAAGGAAGGCAATTTGTGTTTTATTACCTGTGTCGATGTAATATGGCATAAATACCGATTTCTCCCCCTCAAGAAATGAGATTTCCTTACCGGATATATTTTAGAAATTGGTTTGGTTATGCCTAATTTCTTTATACGATAAGTACCTACTATACTTTGGCTTTCAGGCCGAACGCCTGAAAAATTGTAATTATAGTACATAATATTATGTAAGATTTGTAATGTGAAAGAAATATGACGTACGAGTAGATACAAAATATAGAGACATTACACGTGATTAATAGAGAACCTACCTATGTCCTTGCTTTGATGTTGCATAGCGTTTTAGTGACTCTACATTTGACGGCAGTATAACAATAATAACCAAACACAACTTTGCTAAAAAACACTTCATTCTAGGCTTTTAGTAAAAGCACGTTAATTGATTCAGCTACGCGATTTAAGTAGGCATAACTTTGTACAACTTAATTTAGCCACCGGCTAAAATTTATTTATAGGCACGACCTATTTTCACACGAGCTCACGTCATCAGTAAATACTCCATACGAGTTCGTACTTTGTATTCACAGTTCTTATTAAAAAAGTTTGTGAAATGCTGGCAGCCACGCTGGTCTGTGAGATAACCACAAACCACGCTCGGCTATAAGAGCACAAACTATTTGAACTGTGCTCAGAATAACCGACCTCTTGTAGTTTATGGAGGGAATTGCTCGTATAATCTAGACAAGCCGTTAATCAAATTATAAGAGCCACTTGGAGAGACATTTAGGACAAATACTGCTGTAGTTTTGACTGTAACAGCAGCATGTGAAATTACGGCTAATGAATAACATTCGTAGGTAGGCACAGTTTACTGTTTTACTTTCTGGAAAAATGCTCTGTCCCGCACTAAAAGGATCTTGAACTACAGCGACAATACTCCCCGGATAGGGTTTTCCCTTTTCAAAATCGTAATAAATCGCAAGAGAAAAGAATAACAAGTTGCCTCTTTTAAACCAAAAGTAGTTCACTGCTTTTTTATCAAGATGATTCTCATAACAACTGGTCCGATTCCAAGCGCTTCTCTCAACCTTTACTTTTAACCAGGTAATCGGTCCACCGAGTGGGAGGCCTGGCTGTAATATGTACGCACAGTCATTACAGTAAGGACCTCTTCCACCATCTCCGAGTAAAGTTCCAATTAGTTACTTCCTGATCACCACTAGGTACTTAGCAATAAAATAAGAAGTAGGTACTTACTTTAGCGTTATTCAGAGATGGTGTTTGATAAATTGACACTTGACACTTAACTCGGAGATGGTGAACGAGGCCCTAAGAATATACACTTGTTGTTGGAAAATAGCCGCTGTCACAAACACATTTGATGCCCTAGTCTTCTACTCACCTCTCAGCCACGGCGGCGACTGCAGGCGCGTGGTGGATGGCGCTCCGCCCCCGCTTGCGTCTCCTGGTCCTCTTCCTGGAGTACGAGGCTAGCAGCAGCCACTTTCTGGTGTCCATTCGCTCCTTAGAGTCCTTGGCCAGTGTCCGCACAGCCAAGGATGTGGGATCGAAGCTGAATGTGGAATCGTCGCGGTGCTCGTTCAGGTCCTTTTTTCTTTCCTGAAAGTGTTAAGAGTTGGAGGAATATTGCCTTGAAAGTGTGAAAATAAAGCGCGAATGTTTTTGGTACTGTTTATCGACTCGTTGGATGTTACTAGAATGATTCAATCGATAGTACGTACAAAATGTAGAGATGGTAAAATTTTTGACTTGGTCCAATGTAGGTTACTCTACAACCTTCTATAAGTATAAAAAATCATGTAGGTATTTAGGAAGGGGAGAAACTAGACTTGGCAAGAGAACTTTTGTTTTCAGAAAATATCTGCCCAACTTTCACGAGAAAAATATCTGAAGGAACACAACGTGTGAATCATTTTATTACAAAGAACAATAAAACATTGCACTGGCATACATAAAATACGTTTAGGTTTTTTACGTGGTCAACGGTTATTAAATCTAAACTAAATGGAAAAATTCGAGGCAGGTGCCGATGTGATCTGAATAAAAAACGCAATGCAAAAAATTTCACCGTTGTTTGTTTTTTTAACGCGAAAATATGTATTTTACCAACAGTGTACGTGTAGCATTGATTTTTGAATAATTACCTATGTTTGTTTGTTGTTTAAGCATATTCATTTGATTTTTCTTTTCCTGTGGCAATATTGTACGATTATTAATTTGAACTGTTTTGTAGAATTGGAAATTATCACCCTAAAATAAGTTATTAACGATAAAAGTAAAATCGCAAAGCCAGGATCCAAAATCCAACCAAAAAGAAAAGAAGCTATTCGCTTGTGAAAAGAGATTTCTTATGTTAAAAATCAAAATCATAATATGTTTATTTGTATAGACATCTAAATTAGTTTTTACAAATCGTCAAATGCTCTAGGAGCCTTTTTACAAACATTAGGCAAGTCCTGAGAAGAAGCGCGCAACAAACTCAGTCACCATTTATATGGCTTACCTCTTGCGTGATCTGTGACTCCTCTTCATAGCTGAGAGCCACTACAGCCAGCATCAGGTTGATGAGGTAGAAAGACCCGAAGAACACCACCACTGTGAAGAAGGATACCGACATCGGCCCGCACGATGACAGCACCTGTGGGAAATATAAAATACATTGACAAATGAGAAGAATTGTAAAAAAAAGGAAAAAGAAGACGTACTTGAAACAAAGAAATTCCTATGGAAGATGTTACGTAAATAAGCATCTGTTTACGTTTGAAGATGATTATTACCTAATTGATATAAAAGAAATTGATACTTTTATTAAGTAGTTAGTTCGATATATCGAGTGCTTTTGATAACAATATGTATTTTAAGAACCTCTCACATGTCAAGCGAATACTCAATCAGTGTGCCTACCATGAGTTTACGTTAGGTGAGCTCGCTAGCGAATACGTCAAAAAATTATATGAAGATTTTATTTCTTGAAAGTAGCCGCTAGGGGCGCTGCACAATATGTCATACATTTAAATGTCATTTTTTTACGCAGTCGCTAGCGAGCACACCTAACGTAAACTCATGGTAGGCACACAGTTTCAGTCATAATAAACGTTAGGTAAGAGAAGTCGTCGAGCAAACTTAAGTTCGTGGTTTACTTCCCCATTGTACTCGACTTTTGAAAGTTAAAAATAAGGTTTTAGTCTCGCACCATCGGAGGTTAAAATTTAAAGCTTACATCGCACTTAACAAATCATTGTTTTGAGTTAACACAATAGAAGTTTCGTCGACCGACTAAAAAGCGAGGGTAAAACTTATTGAATCAAAGTAAACACTGAAAATTAACTCGAATTTGAATCACAAAGCCATAGCCTTTGGCTCGTAGAAAATGCACAGTCATTGTTACAGTCGCCAGCATTTCAGACTAAACATTTTTGTTGGATAATGGCATCTACTACAAACTACATAAGGAGTCATGTTAACCTAGCATTTTCCGTCATCTGTACATAAATACTTCTTTTTATTGCGGGCACACGCTTTCTGTACAACTAACTGTTAAAAAGTGGCGTGTTTTCACGACAGACGGCCGCTTTGTAGCAGCATTCATGTTAAATTTCTGCTGAAGCATTGTTATTACAAAACCCATTCGCAGCAAGCTGTTAAGGTAATAAGTTTCGCTATAATTACCAGTACCCCAATCCTATTTATCCTCACTGATTAATCTAACGAGCTACTGATTTCAATATCGATTAAGTAGGTAATTCAATCGACTCGGCTGTAATGGGAGGTTGGGTATGGACCCGAGCCCTCAATTGACGTGGGCCAATGTAGGTTAATTGTTGGTTTTGTATTGCGTTAGCCCCAGAGTCGGTTTTCGTATTTCGATTTTGTTTTCGTCCTTCTTTTTTTTAATAAACGACAGATAAGTACTTAATACCTCTGCGATAGAGTTGGGCTCTTTTGAATCGATCTTGTTTGTTAACTATTTAATCGGGAGACACGTTACGTCCACAGCTTGATCTCGTCATGTAGCTCTATTGCAGTCTTAAAGTGTAACACCAGGACTTTAGTTGTAACTCGTACTTACAACTTATGCGATAAAAGGAAAGACCGTTACATTACTTCTGAGATCTACTTACTGAGTCACTTTATGAATATGGTCGCCGCATTTATCTACTTTCCCAATTTTGCAGACCCTAAATCAGCTCTACGGCAGCAAGATAAAATATCCCCGTTTCTCAAGCTCGTCTCCAAACTGAATTTGCACCGTGAACCGAGTACTTCGGTACACTGCGCCTCATACCCTCTTCAAATATTGCGCGAGTAATTTACACGAGTGTCGGCATTGTTCTGCAAACAAAACTCGGGTGCACTGTACGAGCAGCTGTGTGCTCAGACTGCAGCTTTGTCTCTGGATTGTAACGAATCACGTGCGGATGACGAGAAGAGAACTACGTTAATTGTGGCAACAATTCCAGATGTGCTGAATTTAAATAACAAGGTCGTAACTTACAAAAACAACTTTAGGAACTGTTACTTAATCCTTTTCTTCTTTGCCTGTGTGGGTTGTAAATCGGTAAGATAGCATTCTATCACGTTGAACAGCATCCGACAGAGCCAAAAATACGGAATTCAGTTTGTGAATAAAGAGTGTGGGACTTAATATGTTTCCGATGTCTCCGTAGGCGTCTGGCATGGCTCAATCAGACACAATAAAATGGAATAAGTAGCTAACATTATTACTACCTAAATAAGGTTAGTAATAATGTTAGCTACTTATTCCTTAATCTTAGACATAGTATAACATGCTCTCTGAGTTGCTTGTTGAAGTTAAATCAGTTTTACCTCGCCTCGATCCTCGCATTTTATTTAGGAGGAAATGAAGGAGAGGTAAAATATGCAAAAACTTATCGCAGTAAAAGTTGAAAATGGAAAGGTGCCATTAAAACGCAGAACAAAGTCGGTGCATAATTCTGTACAAATCTGGGATGCAGATTTAATGATATTGAATTCGAATTACATAAGGTTTTAAACGATGGTTATTAGTCATGTTTTGATGTTTCGATTATATACCTTGTTTTTTTAGTCAAATCTCATGTCAACTCAAAATTTCAAAGAACTTCACTCATGTTGTATTTCTATTTACCTCTTTGTCCGAGATAAAATAACACTTTTGAAGTTATACTTGTTATTGTCATCCTTACTAGCTATCGAATAGTTTATTACCTACCTTGAAATCGAAAATACACGACCGAAGCTTTGGTTGTAACTAGAATACAATATTTTTTCAAGAGTTTCCCTTAAGAAATTGACGAGGAAAATATGTCTTACATTTCTTTAGAGCCATTAACGGAAAAATAATTGCCCCCAATTAGTGTCTATTGGTTGTTGGATTCTTCTTGAAGTGCTCGTTAGGGTTTTTGTATGAAGGAATAGGATTTTGGCCCGTCATGATCTCGTGGTTTCGCCATCTTGTTATTAAGGATTAGAGGGTCGGGTGTGTCTACAAAATGAATTTTGGTCCGGTCGTATCTAAGCGTATTCATAATGTAAGAGCTACCGTTCCCTTAATTAATTCTCCTCTCAAAACGTCTACACTTCCAAGTGGTTTTGTTGTGGCAGGACCTTCTCGATTAGATGGAACGTATGTGCAGACCTATCTAAATATTGAGGTGGATTCGAGTTGGTTGTTGGGACTCGCGTGACCGAATTTGTTGGTCGTTGTCACGCTTTGGCTGTGGATTTAGGTTTGTTAGAGAAGAAATCAAATAAAGTAAAACTATTGTTATAAATTCGTTTGTGTTGAAAGTAACTGGTCTACCAGCGTTTTTGTATTGTTTCGTATGTTAAAAAGTGTCGTTTGGAAAGCTTCCGTTACAAATTGATTATTAGAATCTAAACCTTAGAGGACGTCTTTTGTGTTTTGGAAATAGTTAAAAACTAAAGGCTGTAAAAATTGGTAGTTTGTTACCAAACTCAGGCTCACCGACTACTGTTTTCTTGTTTAATGGGTAAGCCCTGCCCTCTTTGCTTATAGAGCCCTACATAACCCACCAGCTGCTCCTATAGCTAAAATTTTAAAACTCCAAAAGTAAAGTTTCTTACCATATTATACACATTTTCCCAATAATCCAGCGTGATGAGTTGAAAGGTGGTGAGCATGGACCACAGGAAGTTGTCGAAGTTGGTGTACCCATGGTTGGGGTTTGGGCCCACACAGAGGCAGGTGTGCGTAGGCGGGCAGTGGCGCGCTCCTGTCAGGTTGCCGCAGATTATAGGGATGTCTTCGTCGTCCACTATCCAGTTCGATGGGTCTGCTATCCACCTGTGAAGTTAAAGTTGAAGTACTTAGTACGCCCGTATTCCCTTAAGTGAAGCAGCAAATCGAGCGTTGAATAGAGCTCTGTGATTGGTTCTTGTGTCACCCTATGCGTCCACGCGCACTGTGAGATCTCATAGTTATATTTGTGAATACGGGCATTATAGAAATATTTTATTCAACAGTGGATTTTTTTAGGTTGAAAGTTGTTGGTTGCCTGAATTGATTTAACTCATTTTATTTATCTGTATAAAAATGTTAAACGGGTATCTCTATGAAATGAATCTTTTTGGGCATCTAGTATTTTTTGGGGCAAATCTAGTATTTTTGGGGCAAGAGTGTAAATCAACATTTAGACATTGTCTTAATACGGGCCTTTTGATAATGATTGCATTAAAAAGCGCGATCTAGAAACATAAAATATGTACATATATTTCCTCATTATTAGATGACGCTTACAAGATATATTAATAATGTGCTATATGTAATATATTCACTGAACCGTATCCCACTGGCATTGTCGCATCTTATGTTAATGGCATGAAGATTATGCAATTATGATAACGAGGTAACAGACTAAGTAATATTAACTATGTTAGTTATGGCGCTACACACAGAAACCACGGACATGGCTGCTTTGTGTTGGAAACATAACTTGCAAATATTTTGAGGTGAAATTCTTTCACTTAGCTTAATTTACGTGTAAGTAAATCCTTCATCTTCATCGTCTTTAATTTGTAAATTCTACTTTTAATAGAGCGCAGTGAACAAAATAAATGAAACTACTTGTTAAGTAGAGAGTACAAACGGTGGGAACGATGTTCCTTACGCTATTCGACAAAATAGATTCCGTCTTCATTCCATTGGCTAATTACTGATTTCTACATTTGTGAGAGTCTGTGCGAATCCTGGGTAGTGGGTTTAATTAACCTCGCTTTCCTATGGAAGCTGCTATACACTTTCGACCCCTGAACTATTGTATTGAAGCCACTTATAAACACAAGCATTTAGCTTAGTAAGAGGGGTAACAGGAATGTTATATTTTTAAACAAAAACAACATTAAGCCGTCATTTTAAGCTTTACTTACTGTGACCACATTTCATCTGTGTAATTCTCCCCAGGCGGCACGACGAGGTTCCTCACACATTTGTTCCTCAGCTCCCCCATGTAGACTTGTAAGGCGAACAGCGCGAAGACCATAAGGCAGAAGATGGTGAGGGTCATGACCTCCGCCAGCTGTTTGAAGGAGTGGAGCAGTGCGTTGATGATGGTCTTCAGGCCTGTAACAGAGGTGCTGGTCAGAAAAAGTACGGAAAAGTAGAAGCAATAACTATTTTTTTACTTAATTACTTCTGAGGTATTAGTGGTTTGTGTTTAGTAGTGTGTTTAGAAGTTATCGTTGTATTGATTAATCCTGATATTAAGTACCAAAATACTCTATGTATTTTGATAAAATATGTGTCTGCAAAACTATAATGTTTAATGTCCAAGACAAGGTAGGAAAAATGGATTAATGTTTTTTTTAACCAACTGGATTTGTTACAGTTTGTTAGTTTAAACTGTGGTTTAAATAACTTTCAGTTACCAGTAAATTTTTGTGTAGCTAATTTAGCAATTTACTTATCTCCTTAAACCTTTATAATTGCCAGCCCCACGCACAAATTAAATTACAAATTAGACGGCCAACGATCTTAACTAATCATCGAGTAATTCTCCGCGCGCGCTGTTCTTTTTATACGCGACTTTCATTTGTTTTTAGCTTTTTTCTTTAATCCAAGGCGTGAGGTGCAAATGGCCAGGATTAAAAAAACTTTAGAAGAAATAAAACAACAATTTAACAAAGAAATAAATAAAACCTTTTTTATAACGCTAATGGTACTACTTGCTGCGAAATAGAAATTAAAATAAAGAGGTTACGAAGAGGAAACGAATTAGGTAATATTATGCGTTTTTTACTTTGTGTCAATTTATATGAAAAGTTATTCCTCGTCCAAGTCCTCTGTTTGTCAGAGTCTTTACGGCATTCAATTTACCCTGGTTCTAATTTACTCAAAGGGCAAATGTCTAAGGTTTACGCATCGTGATCCGGCTACGTAACGTTGACTCAGCGAAGGTGCGAGATGGTATCTAGCAAATGAGTGATCCGGGTAGGCCGGGACATTACGTTCAGACGACGTTTCTGGGATTGCTTTTAGTTTAATTATTCCTTAGATTATTGCTAAATGGTAATAAAAATATCTTAGATGTAGTACAAATAGGTACCTATGTACCTTCCGACTTTATTGCAATTTAAAATAAAGTTAGAAGATTTAGCGCATTAGGTATGAGTCCAAGACTAGTACAACTCTTTTTTGTTCATTTGCAATCGTTTCAATGGGTTGTTGTTAGTGTCAGTAACTTATTACCTACTTAGTTCAGCACAGCTTGTAATAAATGCTATTTTGCAATAAAATATATTATATTATTTTCTACACTAATATTATAAAAGAGAAAAGATTTAATTGTTTGTTTGTATTGAATATGCTCGGAAACTATTGGAGCGATTTGAAAAAGTCTTTCACCATTAGAATCCTACATTATTTTTGAAGAACGTAGGCGGTATTAAGTTCGCCAGGTTAATTAGTTAGTTTAGTGCGACTTAATCTAAAATGCGTCATTTATGCGTTGACCTTTGCAAACGCACGCAAAATATTAAATTATTGACAATTACCAACGTTTTCTAGATACGATTGTAATCTAGGCGTAATGGCTCATTCGTTCGGTCACAAGAAACTGTAATTTGGACGCATTAGAGACACATTTAAACGTTTGGCGGTACCCTTGTCATAGGGCTGTCACGGAAATAGGGAGGTTGTTGACGTTTGCAGTCAATTGATGTACCTACGTACTTTTTATGACAATTTTAGTAGACGATCTTTTGTTTCCTAATTGTAATACGTATGGAATTAAAAAAACATAGGTAGACTTATGACGCGTCATTAACTCTGTGAACTACTTAGCAATTTCATGGCTATCAAAAAGTAAATGAGAATAAACTTTTAAAATACCAAAGTATAGGATGCTAGCTACCAAAGGATAGTGTTAATGGTTGACAAAATCGTTAAAATCGCTCTAGCCAATTTAATTTTAATTCTAAAGCCTATAAACAATGACAAGTGCTGCTTATTTAGACATGGTAGCTACCAAACATTATTCAGCTATAAAACAAATACATAATGTATCTGCAAATAAGAAAATCCTAAGTTAATTAATCTTGTAATATCTTACACTTACAAAATTACCAACCTATCTTACTTAGCTTGATTCTCAAACAATTTATTAAAGCCTGTCACAATGTCCAGCAGTCTAAACTTCAGCAAAAGTTCTGCAAACTTGTAATCCTCAAAGAGCGGGCTGCTCTCAGGATTTGTCCACCACAAACTTGGATGTAAGTAGGCACTCTAAGGATTTGAGGGGCTATATTTTTACGTGAAGTTAAGTCGAGGAATTGCTCGAGTGTCAATATTTTTAACTGAAATAGGTGTTGTTTTAGAACGGGGTGTTCATTTTCAAAGAGTCTTTTGTTTTTTAAATCACATTTTTTTATAACTCTATGCTGAAAACCAGTTGTGTTTTCAAGTAATATGCAAGAATGAACAGTATTATGGAAGAGGATAACAAATCATAATATTGATCTACAAAATGTTTCTGTACGAAGTCTGTGATCACTGCAATGTATAGAAGACAGAATGCGGTCTGCAATTTTGCATGCAACTCCACTGAGAGTTACGATTTAGTAGTTGGCAGATTCATTTTGAGATAACAACGTTAACATTTTGTATTTTAAATGAAGCCTTCATTAAACGAGCAAAAAAAAGTCAAATGTGTAAAGAAAAAAACAGAGAAAATATTATTTATTTGGTACAAGACCGAGGAGCACTTTTCGGGTTTAGTCTCTCTATTGTTTTTATCCCCTTTTAATTATAGGTAAATATATTCCATATAAGTATTTTTAAATGCAACATGTAATTAAATAAACGATTTAGTAATGAGTATTGAGTAAAAGCTCATACAAACACTAAGGCTGAGTTGCACCATCTTACTTTAACTTTAACAAACGTCAAAAATCGGTCAAACTCCATACAAAAAACACCGGTTATTGTTATAGTTACGGTTAGTTAAATGATTAAGCAATTTGGCAGCCCTAGGCCCAGCCATCACGAGTCAGGACATTTGGCGAATTCGCGTCGTTTTAACGGCCCGTTTTATGGACTCGTGTTTTTGTCGCGAGATAACGTCGCGGCGAACGTGTTAATGATCCGCGTTTTGTCGCGCCTTGATGGGGAGTTGCGGTTTTCGATCAAATCTCTGTCTGCATAATTATTGAGACGTTAAATCTTGTTAATTGGTTTGAGGAAATACCTAGAACTTCTTTTATGTTGCTTTTGGCGTAGTACATTTAGTTAGCTCCGGATTCCTGTCGTTTTAATGGATTAATTGTCCAAAATATAGTTTTGTAACGGTTTGCAGGCTGTTAACCTTTTTACGAAAAAGTGTCATTGACGCGTTAGAAAAGGATATCAGCTACGCGGCTGTCGATATGAAATTAGAAACCCTTATTATACAAGAAAAATATTCAGCGCTTTAGTTCCAAACTGCAAGATAAAGTATTTGTAAAAATATCCATACTTTGCGAAGCTAAATGCTTAGAGGATTTAGCTTGAAACCCTGACTGGGTAAAAAAGTCTTATGATATTTTTGGATTAAAGGAATCTTTTTAAAGCGTATAAAGTTTAGTTATGTAAGATGAAAAAAATCCTTAACTCACCTGGCATAATAGATACAGTCTTCAAAGCTCTAAGCACCCTGAACGTCCTCAAGCCAGCCAGGTTTCCCACCTCCATTCCGATGGTGGCATACCCCGACGTGATCACCACGAAGTCCAGCCAATTCCAAGGGTTCCGCAGGTAGGTGTACTTGTTCAGTATGAAACCCTTCGCGATGCACTTTATTATCATCTCCGCCGTGTAGATCGCCAAGAAAATGTACCTGGGGAAGAAAAGGTAGGTTAAAATATTGTAGAGACAAAATAGATAACTATGTAGCTGGTAGACCTTATTTTAATCGTAACAATAACAGTAACCGGTCCTTTTTGTATGGAGTTTGATAGATTTTTGACGTTTGTTAAAGTTAAAGTAAAATGGTGCAACTCGTATTTAAAAAAAAAATCGAAAATGGTTTAAAATGGCCTTTCCATACAAAATGTGAGCTAGTCAAGTGTGCTCCTGTAAAGAAGTAAAGAACTCGTTCTAAAGAACGTTTCTTAAACATTGTATGGCTAGTAGATAGCAGTAGCCATCTTAAAATATAATAAATGCAAAAATAATGTCTACCATTAGGATAATTCTTATTCGCATAAATAAGCAAAATACTTAAATTAATTCCTACAAATATCAAGACATAAATATAAATGAATTTTTAATCGTTCATGATAAACAGGGTGCTATTTACTCGTGTCTACTACACTTTACGTAATGTGGCACACAATATTAAGCTTCTTTAAAACTATTTTAAAACGTGTACGTCGTCGCCTATAAAAAGATTTCTCAACCGGGATGCGGTGTCCCGGGGCTTTTTAATAAAAGGTTGCGGCGGTCCCGTCCGGGATAAATGCTCCCGCCATTATACCCCGGCTTTATCGAGCGACATCAAAATTAACCCCCCGAATCCCCATCGGAAGTTTATGAGTTTGCAATTAAGTTGCTTGTTTTTTAATATCCTGTTTTGGGAAGGTCTTGTCCCTAATTATTGAACAAAGTTTGACTAAGTAAGTAACGTTACGAGAACGGGTTTTGTATTGTAAAATTATAGTAAAAACAGAGGGTTAGAGAAGTAGGTTAGCGTCAAGCCTTTTTTCTTGTTTCAGTGTAGGTACATTATTATGTAGCTTATAAAAAGTGATAACTTATTCCAAAAACAAAGCTTTAGCTCGCTATTTTTTTTTAAATAATTTATAGTTTTATTTAATAAAAACTCAGTTCAATACTTTTCCGTTTTTGTTTAAAAGATTAACAATTCACTGCTCATTTAATTTATTTAATTTATTTTAACAAATCTAAAGATGAAACCGCTCGATAAGGCGCCACAATGCCGAGCGACGTCGCAATTTAATATTACCAGCATTCATTAACACCGTGACATATTGCGTTATAAATTGACTTACATGCTACGTCTTGAATAATTTATTAATTTTGTTTATTAATGAGCTTGGGTTTGAAGTAAAGACTCTGGAAAGTTAATGCGGTGCCACTCGAGAAACGTTCCGACGCGATGGGAAATTTTCCATTTTATAGCTTTCTTAATATATTGAAACAGAAAAACTCATAACTTATTAGCTAACTTCGAGCTCTTCTTACGTCAGGATGTAAGTCATCCTACCAATTTTATTGTTAATCACCGTTTTCCAAAATTCGATAAAAAGAAGGATTGTGTATGCTATCAGAGATTTTTATTAAAAACACTTTTTTGCAGCCATCTTAGCTATCAATATTAACCTCAGATCATAGATTAACCTACCTATACATTCAGATATTTTTCACTCACTTAAAAGAATAAACAAGACAACCCATTTTGCAGTGAAGTCAAAATGAAGTCGTTTTATAAACAAAGCTGCGTTCAATAATAACCGCGTATCTAAAGACAAAGAGTCATGCGATATTGTCATTAGCACGAGAGAATTCGGTTGATGCGGAGATAGGGCCCTCAGGGACTTTTTTATCACTATATTTGCTGGCAAAGAAATGTTTTGTGAAAAAGGCCGGAGTAAAGACGATTTTTTTTGACGCCTTTACAACAAAATGCTGAATTTGAATATGGTTTCTGTTTTAAGTGGTTTTAAACTTAATCTATTAGGTAGTAGTGTACTCGTATGTTTTAACGTCGAACGTCTAACGTGTTTAAGCGCTTAAAGAAATAGCAGGAGGAAGGTGAATTTACATTAATTTAAAATGAAAAGAATCAAGAGTCCAATAAGTTTTAACAAAAAAAAATTACAAGAAAAATAACAGTTTATATAATTATGACAGTGCTTTTAAATTACCTTTTGCTCAAGTTACCTTATAACTTGCCATGTACAGACTACAGCACATGGCATAAAGCTAAACACCATGGCGTCTAATTTCTTTGTAATACGGGTTATTTTACAACAAAAATGTAGAGTCTGTGGTCGGCTGTACACTGAATCCCGTCATTTTATAAGCAGATGGTACTGCTCGAGGCAGCAAGTTGGGAACTGCCAATATTGGTTGTAATTTATTACTTTCCGATGTCCAGGCTTCTTTGTCCAGGCTCTGGGTTTATGGCACAGTATAAGTGAGATTTATGGGCACCATTCCGTGCCTTACACAGTACATTGAATAGCACATTTTTTATTTTACACCGAAGAAGGGGTTCCGTAAATTCTGGTTGAAAAATCGCAATTATTTGTTTCGCCGCCGCCTGGTGTGAAAACCGCTTTAGTGCCTTTTCACACGTTCCGGTTGCCGGCTATCCGGCGCCGGGTACCCGGTCGTGAATGTATGGGCATGCCGGATTAATTACGCCGGAACATGTGAAAGCTCCGTACCATGCCCATACACTTCACCACCGGGTACCCGGCGCCGGATAGCCGGCAACCGGAACGTGTGAAAAGGCACTAAAGCGGTTTTCACACCAGGCGGCGGCGAAACAAATAATTGCGATTTTTCAACCAGAATTTACGGAACCCCTTCTTCGGTGTAAAATAAAAAATGTGCTATTCAATGTACTGTGTAAGGCACGGAATGGTGCCCATAAATCTCACTTATACTGTGCCATAAACCCAGAGCCTGGACAAAGAAGCCTGGACATCGGAAAGTAATAAATTACAACCAATATTGGCAGTTCCCAACTTGCTGCCTCGAGCAGTACCATCTGCTTATAAAATGACGGGATTCAGTGTACAGCCGACCACAGACTCTACATTTTTGTTGTAAAATAACCCGTATTACAAAGAAATTAGACGCCATGGTGTTTAGCTTTATGCCATGTGCTGTAGTCTGTACATGGCAAGTTATAAGGTAACTTGAGCAAAAGGTAATTTAAAAGCACTGTCATAATTATATAAACTGTTATTTTTCTTGTAATTTTTTTTTGTTAAAACTTATTGGACTCTTGATTCTTTTCATTTTAAATTAATGTAAATTCACCTTCCTCCTGCTATTTCTTTAAGCGCTTAAACACGTTAGACGTTCGACGTTAAAACATACGAGTACACTACTACCTAATAGATTAAGTTTAAAACCACTTAAAACAGAAACCATATTCAAATTCAGCATTTTGTTGTAAAGGCGTCAAAAAAAATCGTCTTTACTCCGGCCTTTTTCACAAAACATTTCTTTGCCAGCAAATATAGTGATAAAAAAGTCCCTGAGGGCCCTNATTGTCGTTTGAGGGTGGATTGCAACTGTAAGTGACACCGTCCAATATTTTTCTGGAGCTTGTTTGTGATGGAATTGTTACGTGTCTCATTTGCGGCAGGATGGGCCATAAAAAGGGTGGCGCTGCCCAAAGGAAACTAAATACGGAGAGTGCGGTCCTACAGCGCGACGCGACTGCAAAACCGTCACCGTCGACACCGGATGATGGGAGGATAATAAATAGGCTTGTGTAGTACATGTACTATGAACTAATAGGAAGCAATTCCTTTAGTTTCACTTTAGTACACCCGATCACGAATAAATAAGTGTGAACGAGACGTTAAATTGGTGACAAGCGCGCGCGTGCGAGATGGATTCGGCTCTGTGAGTGTGTTGCGAGTATTTTGCGACATTGCACTTAAAGGTAATAGTAATAAAGACGTTTTTCGTCCGATCTGATTAAAAAAAATCGGTGTACGAAAATGAACTAACTACATTCGACCAATTGTACAAGTTCGGAGCGATCCGTCACAGATCCGTGTCCGAGTAAGAACAAGCCTAGTAATAAATATTGCACGTTTTGTATTGGTCATTTTGTCGATTCTTGCTTTCAAAAGCAGTTTTGGGGATTCGAGTGGGAGACGGTCTTCAAGTGTGGGTTTTTTGCTCAGAGTCAAATCCCAGCTCAATAACAATTACCCGCATTAGTGCAAATGTACCCCTTGATATTTTCTGTTGACAGCGGTCGGACATTTCGTTAAATTCTGAATCAGTTTTGAAGCGTTTTAATTTTATTTTAATAGAATCCCGGCTTATCGTTTGATGCGAGAAATCGGAAGTCAGGAGGTCGAATCAACTTCGTACGTGACGACTTTTCAAAATCTTGTAAGCATCGCGATGGTTGTTGTGGTTTTCGTGATGGATCACAAGACCATGTCTTAATAAAAATTTTGGTTTGACCAAACAAAATAATTATGTAGTGGGTAACCTTCCCACGTCTTCGTCGTCTCCAAATCAAATCAAATCAAATCATTTATTGCATTACATGTGTGGTTTGACAATATCGCGCCCCGACTCTGAGTGTCGTGCGCTGCCTTTGCTGGATTCCGAGCGGCGCATTCCTGTGGATGCGGTGGCCCCGGGGGCGTGGAGCAGGAGCAGCAACTACCAGGGAGGACGTAGTGAACAGGAATATTGGTGCTTTGTCTAGTTTGCTACAAACAAGGTCCTGTAACTTTTGTCTTTCTTTTCTTATCTACCCTTGTATACTCACGGACATTGCCCGCGGGTGGCGTGGCCGGAGGGAGCGGCGAGCGTTCGGCGAACGAACGAGCAATGTTCGGTTCGCGAGCGAACATCGAAGAAGACGATCCTGACGAATATGTGCATAATTTTTGATATTTGATGTGCAGAGGAAGGCCGAGCGTGTATTTTGAAGTGAACGTGCTGCCCATACAAGTTTAAACGGGCGCTGGCGCATCACCGCTATGACTTGGAGTTGCTGGCTGGGTTCTGCATCGAAAAACCCAGTTTTAATACCCAAGGTGTAGTGTTGGCATTCAAATATGGCCTCTGCTGACGGCGACGGGTTAGTAAGCACATTATGCAAACTTTGGGCCTCTTTTGTGCTTACTGTTCTAACTAATCTACGGATAATAGCATTCCGGAGCTATTATTCGTAGGACTAGTAATTTTCTTTCACTAATTGTTTTTATTTTATTATTCACTATCTGAGTTTAGTTAATTTGAACGTCAGTTTGGGTCTCTTATCGCAATCACATGAGTGCACGCATGGGATTGTGCTAAAAGGCTGTGATCTTTCTAACATTTGTGAATTTTAACTTCAAGAAACGACGGTTTCACTTTGGTTCCTTGTAAACTGTCATACATTGAACTTACACCACTGACATTCCAGATGATTACCATGGAACCGACTAACATTTGTGAATTTTAACTTCAAGAAACGACGGTTTCACTTTGGTTCCTTGTAACTGTCATACATTGAACATATACCACTGACATTCCAGATGATAACCATGGAACCGAACATGGATGAACCAACCTGGTGAGGGTCAGCCTCAAGCTGCACCTCAGGGCTCCGAGCATCAGCTTCCTGCGGACCAGGGCTGCGATGACCAGCCTTTGGCGGGTCCGAGCTGCGCAGATCAGTTTTCAAACGTCGGGGAGGTTATGCTGCGCGCGGAAGAAGCCGTGGCTGATGGGGAGCAGGCAGCGGTCGAGGACGCCGCACGATCAGGAACGGCCGTCTTAGAAATAACACCCGCTACGTCAGCGTGACGTCATATCGTTCGATCCTGTTGTCTCTGTCTTAGAGAGGGAAGGCACGAGAAACCGGCCGCCCCGCGCACCGCGACACTTTGCTCGAGCGCTTGGCTGTGACGGACGTTCTCTCGGTTCAGGGACTGTGATATTTGTGACCTATATCATTATTTCTGCCATAGGCATATTTCTTTATTACGTTCATTTGATTTGTGGAATTATTGGTTTCGGTTATGTAATAAATCGATGTCTGCTGGTGCCATACATTACTTTTAAAAAAGCACTCTCACCTCTGATCCTTAAGAGTAGTTTGTTTACCTTTTTCTTATTATTTTTGAAATGAAACGACAGCGTATTATGTTGGTATTTTGGATTTATAACGTGATATTATGTGTGTACCAGTCAGCAAAGGTTTCGGCCGCTTTAAGGGTGATCCACGGGACACCTGATGTTAATAATGAATTTCCTTACGTGGTTTCTCTTGAGACATATCGCCAGCTTAATATAAATTGGAAAATATACAGGGTGTGCTCAGGATCCCTTGTTACCGCGAATTGGGTTTTGTCAGCAGCACATTGCCTTGTTCCGGCAGTACAGGTGATTAGATATGGAGATATGACGGTAGAACGTAACGCAACTGATTCTATTAATCAAGTAATTAAAATGTTTCCACATCCCAATTACAAAATAATGCTGACGCCCCCAGTTATGCTGGTCAACGATATCGGGCTGGCTTTGGTCGAGAAGGTTCCGGTATCCCCAGGAAAATTGTCGGCGGTGGATTACAAAGGGTTGATTGGGTTTGAAGTTCGATACGCTGGTTTCGGCTTGACTCATGAAAAAGAGCACATGTATAATAAGCAGAACATGGAAAAGGACAACATGAAACCATTGCAAGTCGGCATGGGCGTGGTTATAATTTGTCCTACGATCGATTATACTTGGAATCCCGGTGTTTGTGTGGCGCCCAAATGTTCGAACAAACATCACCAACCCCTTCCTGGCGACTCTGGAGGTCCACTATTCTTTGATGGAAAAATTGTTGCAGTTGCCAGTGGTGACTTCGGTTCTTCTATAACAATACATACTCCGGTTAGTCCATATTTGATCTGGATAAATGATGTCATCACCAAGGAATCACATCATGTCAGAATAAACTCATGAACCGACATTACTTAATTTTATTAATAACTTTATGTTACGTACTTTCAAATATGTAGGCACCGGGCAAAATAAAAATCATCGTAAATCGAATTTACGACTTACGATTTTATCAAAGTCATTTTCTTGCTTGTTGACGCAATTATATGTTTTGTACATTTTATTTTTTCCGTTTTGCCTTACCTACTTCAGTATGTGATTGATATGAGAGTTAAAGTTATTTACGTTGGGTTCTAATCCTGCTGCTGCTGACCTTTTTTCATCATATTGCTGTAGAAAGATTGTTTTGGGACATTTGTACTCCAGTGAATACGAGGCCTTAGTTGCCATGGAGACGGTTGTGAGTGCTGCGCGCTAGCGCCATCTAGCTGAAAAGCGTCCCTTCACAAGCACAACTTTGGTTATTCTGCGAACCTGGGAACTGGGAACACACTGAAATCATGAATATAGAAATGATTTAAGTTGCTCATAGATGTCACTAAAGGTCTGATTTAGTTATTGCTTACCTACATTCATTCATGACGATTCTAGTCATTTTGAGTTTATCAAAGTTATTAAGTTTGGGCAAGAACTTAAAAGATTTTAATAAATCTTTATGTAAGTCAAAGTTAGTAGGTTTGTTGGTATTTGTACTTTACATTATTTTTTGGATGCTACGACCTACGACCAAAGATTTTAAAAAACCTATAAAATATCAGACATTTTTTTTGACTAAGTAATCAAATTTGACAGCATTGATATTTTTAAAAATATTTATTTACTATCGATCAATTTGTACATAAAACAAGTTTAAATTAAAACAAAAGTTGGAATTGGTAATATGATTAGAAAAATACTGTGTTCATTTTCAAACGTGGTTAGACTGCCAACCAGACTATGTTCTTGTGTATGTCACCCGTCGCCAGTGCCAAGTAACACCAAGCTCACTATCCTCGACAATGGAGTTCGAGTCGCCACCGAGACCAACGCTTCGTCAGTCGCTGGCGTCGCATTGTTCATCGAAGCTGGTTCCCGGTTTGAAACCGCATGCAACAACGGAATAACACATTTTGTAGAACACATGGCATACAAAGGTTTCAACTCCATGAACAGATGCCAACTCCAGGAGCTACTGAGATGTATGGGGGCGAAGATGACGGCGTACACGTCACGAGAGATTCAAGTATTCTCAGCGAAATGCCTAACAGATAATGTCCCAGTCATGGTGGGTATTTTGTCTAATGTCATCGCCGATTTAGCACTGAATGAATGTGATGTTGAAGTGGAAAAGATGAACATGCAATTAGAGTTGATGGATGCAGACCGGGACCCAAGAGCTGTTCTTTTTGACTACCTCCACGCTACAGCATTCCAAGGTACACCTTTGGCTAAACGTGTCATCGGAACCTCTGAGAATATTGAACGTTTTGATAAATTCTATACGACAGCATTCCTCTGTGAACACTACCAACCATATAAACTGGCTCTCATTGGCGTAGGGAATATTCACCACGAGAATATGGTTTGTTATGCCCAAGCGAAATTAGGCCACATGGTTGGAGATCCCTGCTGTGAGTCAGAAGAAGGTCCCACCCGCTTTACAGGATCTCAGGTGCTGTTTCGTGACGACTCCATGCCTTTTGCCCACGTGGCTGTCGCTTTTGAAGTGTCTGGCTACAACAGTCCTGACTACATGCAGCTATTGACAGCGAAAAATATGATTGGCACTTGGAGAAAGGGCCAAGGAGGCGGCACAAAAAATGGGTTTCCATTAGCTCAAGCTGCGGCTACAGAGGACATCTGTGAATATTTTGAATCATTCTATATCCCATACCGCGACGTGGGTCTGTGGGGGATATATTTTGTTGCTCGCAAAATGGATGTAGAGGATATGCTGCATAACATCCAGAATGCATGGATGCATTTGTGTGTCACGACACAATTTTACGACGTGGAAAGGGCAGTAAACCAATTAAAGTTGCAGTTTGCCAAGAATATTGAGGGTAATATGCGGTCTTGCCATGATCTCGGGCTACAGACTATGTACTCTTGTGGGAGAAGTGGCTTAGATGACATGTTCCATGAATTGAAGGGTATTGAGCAGCAGGGCTTAAAGGCTGTAATGGACAAATACATTTACGATCGTTGCCCTGCCGTGGCCGCTATTGGGCCAGTTGAAGGTTTGCCCGAATATACTAGAATAAGGGCTGGTCAGTACTGGCTAAGACTTTAAAATTGTAATTTAAAATAAAGTCGTTTTTATTTTATCTATTTTCATAATTCATACCGCCTGCCTACCTGGAAGGACTGTTGCAACTTATATTTAAATATATGAGTTTAGTTTTAATGATCCAACAACTCAGTAACTCACGCGTGATAAAGCCTCCGTATTCAACAAACCGGTAGGTAAATCGCGGGCGAATCTGTAAGAAAAATCTAAAACATAACGTACCTACTAACTAACCTATTACAAAATTGTATGAATGTAAGGTTGTTTATATCTCAGGGATGGCGCTAAATCTAATCAACGGCCGGTGTAAATGGCACATCGTAATGCACAAGGACGCTTGCCAGTTGAAGTTTGTCGATCTACGACACCATGTAGGGTTGTTACACGCTTAAGTAACCATAATTTATTGTTTACTACATACTTACTTGTGTCTGCAACCACAACCATAGGAGAAATCGTTTTCCAGTGAGACCTTTTCATACAAAATGTGGTTTATCTTTTTTTAAAGGTCTAATTAATGGTATTCACTACTCCTAAAGTATCTACCTACTAAGTGGTATGAATCTTAATAATATGAGTGTACCTAACGTATTTCGAGTAAATTGGTACAAAGATGAGACTAGAACGACTCGTTATTATTATCCTTTCTTTATAGCTTTAGCATTTTAATCTATGAATTATTTTATCTTAAAATTATTCTAGAGCCGAGTTATTCTTGGTTCCTTTTTGTGTGACTCAACAGCGGTAAAGGAAAATTGAATTAATTCACTGGTGTCTTTTGTAACTTTCATACAATCGTTTTGATATCGTAGACTCCTCGTAATAATTTTAATCTTTTAAATACGCCGCGCAGCACAGATATTTCTATGTAAGACCACGCAACGACACCGCTCGTGTCGCGTTTGATTTTGCTCTAAAATACCTAAATAAATAAAGAGTAGACATATTTTTTATTAATTTATCCAAACGCTGGCAACCCTTCCCGAGGCTGACTTGGCATTGCGCCGACAATTACCGACCGGAATAAAAGACATTATTTTTGAGGCTTAGAAATACTACGAGTATATTGCGGTCTCCCAGTCTTATAGGCTCTTGTGAAGCGACACCACGCAATGGGATGTGCGAGGAAAATTACATTAGAGAATGAAGGTGGATTCCATCAACAGACATCTCATTTACCTTTTGCCTGCATTTTTCAAATCTGAAGTTTATAGTGAGACTAGCTTTCCGCCCGCGGCTTCGCCCGCGTGGAATTTTGTCTGTCACAGAAAATTTTTATCGCGCGCGTCCCTGTTTCAAAAACCGAGATAAAAACTATCCTATGTCCTTTCCCGGGACTCAAACTATATACCAAAATCATCAAAATCGGTTCAGTGGTTTAAGCGTGAAAGCGAGACAGACAGACAGAGTTACTTTCGCATTTATAATAGGGTAGTTCTACAAATCAGGGAATTTTACGGGGCTCAACTTGCAGCTCCTTAAATTACCAATCAATAGTTTTCGTTTTAGGGTATTAATAAAGTTTAACTCACATAGTACTTGGTCACTGAATTTCAACACGTTTTAATAAAAACATCCCAGACAAAAGTGGCTTCAAATGGGAAAAATTATCATTTCCCTGTGGGGTGACATTCCAGAATTCATGATGTAAATCACAATAAAAAATATATGAAAATGTAATTAGTCAAAAATAACATTGTATTGAAAGTAACCATTAGTGTATCTTTCATTTAACCTACATGGATTATGTTTGAATTCCCTATTTACATAATTTTTTGATTGCTGAACAAAGGTGACACGAATTAAGTATCACTTCCCTGCCACCTATAAACACGTTAAAATCTGTAACAAAACAAAGGGTAAGCCACGTTGTCGTTCTTATGTATTTAAGTATGCAGTTAAGTTCGCCTAGTGAAACGTTTATTTCGCCCAAATCGTCAGTCAGTTAGACGCAGCTACGCTGTTATCATCGTCTGTCGTGTCTGGGCCAGACAACTTCTCACTCATCTGTTACGTATTTATAACAGTATTTTATATTATTTTTGGGCAATTATGAAACAATATTGTCAAACTCGCTTGCGTCCATTGACTGATAATATTAAATTTGATATGAAGTTTATATAATTCATGATTTTGGCAAAATACATATAAAATCTCACTTCCCTGTGTATCATTTCCCTGGGTTTACGAAGAAAATGGAAAAGTTAATATCGACTAACCAGCAAAACTTACTGCCATATAAAGGCATTTTACAAATACACTAAGTGCAGGCAAATGCATATGTTACGGTTAATGTGATAAATTGAAAATTATTAATAATAACCGGTTATTATGAATAATTCCCGACAGTAGCGGTAAAAGTGATAAATTAATCACATTTAACAGTGATTATTTAATAATTCAACCTTAGTACTATCAAATTTCATAAAAGAGAACAACATCTTGTGTACGTGCTCATGTACAGCCAAACTTTTGAACGTTTTGATATCATATATTAATATAATTTGGCATAATGAGTTTGGAATGTTTCTTGCATAATTATTACTTTTCCATGATGCCTATAACATAATGTTTGATTTAAAGTGAAAAATAGGTTAAGGTGCGGCGGGGGTGGCCCTTGGGCCACCCCTAAGCCGCCTATTTAGTTTTATACACACATAAATGACCTCATATTAATCACATTTACCAAATCATGCGGTAATTATTCATAATAACCGGCGATTATTCATAATTTTCACATTTATCACTTTGACCGTAACACATACACTCCATTGAAACTGGATACTCCATTTTG